ACTGGAACAAAGAGCTTTTTCTAAATATAGAACTACTTTATTGGCTGCATTACAGCAACCTTTTTCATCCTTCCTTTACTCTTACTTTACTATCATTTGGCCCCTCCCTGTCCATATGGAGACACCGAGACCCCTGTGCCCCTGAAGCGTTGCTCACCCCCACTGTGAGCTGCTGTCCTGCACGCTCTCACCATGTGCCTCACACAGTGTCCCTGGGGGAAATACAACAAGATCTCAAGTCAGTGTAATGGGCCCCAAAGGGGAGAATGTCAGCCCACAGACGAGGTCAGTGTACTTTCTAAACTGGGAGGTTACACAGGCTTTCCTTTCCTGAGATGCCACTGGCCCAGGACAGTTTCTAGCTTTTCTCCACCTCATCCAGTACGAGTTGTCTAGCTCAGCTCCCTTGGTTCCTGACAAAGCAAAGTCCTGACTCTCCAAGATCCAGTCCACCCGCTAGGTCTAGTTTACAACCACCTAATATTCAATTTGGGCACTGATTTTACCCGCAGCAGAACTCTTCTGAATGCTGTTGAAGACAAAAGGAGAAGCTTAGACAAGAGAAGTGGGCACCACATTTTCTCACTGGAGTAATATTCTTGTTGGAATGTGCCTTATAAAATAGAAGGTCTAACGCCTGGTGCATCCTGAGACTTCTTCCTTCTCTGCACCAGGCAAAAGTCAGAAGGAATGCAGGCATGTACTTCACTTCAAATAAAAAGGACAGCATACTAGGGGCCTGGGTTGTCACCTCAGAGCCAATGAGGTGGCCAGGAAATGTAAGTATCTAAGTAGTCAATGACCTGCAATCTGGTCTCATTTCTTTAATGAGTGTCTGTCAAATATATCACAAGTATGTTTTCAACCCAGTAGAAGAATGGGATCTGAATTCATGGTGCTCATGTCCCTGAATGCGTATCGACCAAAAAGCTGGCACATCACCACCAATCTTTGTCTCTGTTCACTGGAGGGAAAAAAAATCACATGATGTACCAGTCCCATCTCCTTTACTAAAGTCAGGAAAAAATACATTGACTGAAACTAAAAGGAAAGCTAGCAGTGGTTTTGTAAGATTGTGCTCTTGCACAAGGTCGTAAGATCCATGAAAACAATGACTCTTCAATGCTGACTCCCCCAACACTCAGTCCAATGACCCTCTTGCTATGATCATAATAAATTGTAGCATGGGTGGTTCAGTGGTAGAATTCTCACCTGCCATAATAATTAATTGTAAATAAAAATATTTACTGAGTATAGTCTTCCAATTAAAAGACATGCATAAGTACCACACCTTATGGCACTGACCCTTATGACAACCTACAACTTAGGAAGGAAAAGTAAAGCTTAAGAAGTTAAAAATATGTCCACATAATAGAGTATTATTTAGCTGCAACATGAAGCTTGAAAACATTATGGTACATAAAGGAGCTCAGTCCCAAAAGGCCACACATTGTATGAGTCCATTTATATGAAATATCCAGAATGGGCAAATCCACACAGATAAAAAGCAGGTCAGTAGTTGCCAGGAGCTTGGGGAAGAAGGGACTGGGGAGTGAATGGGGTACAGGGCTTCTTTTTAAGGGGGTAGAGAAAATGCCCTCAAATTATTATGTGGCGATAACTGTACAGCTCTGGGAGTAGAAAAAGATCATTTACTAGTACACTTCAGTGGGGCGGATTTTGTAGCACGGGTGGTAGTGATGGTGATGGTGGTGGAGGAAGGAAAGACAGGAAAGGAAGAAGTCAAGAAACTTGCCCAGAATTACATGGCCAAGTAGATGCCAGGCCTCAGATTCAAAACCAGGCCTGTTTGACTTCAGAACCTGCGCTCCCAACCATTATGTGCTCTGATTATGGTTATTCCCAACACACACTGACTGAAGACATCAGCAAAGATAATCATAGGCAACACAGGCTTTGACATCATTCTCACTTGGCCTTGCTGACTTTCTTCCTCCCAGCGATTAGCCACACTGTCACCATTTTCCTCGCTCTCTATCCACCCCAAGCCGGCGCAAGTGACGCGATCTCCAGGACCTGCAGAGCAGCATTTCCTCAGCTGCAGCTGCTCCTCTGCACAGTCAGACTCGCACAGCAGTGCAGACAAGCTGGCTGTCCTGTCCCAAACCACCCACTGTCCCCTGCTCGCAGCTCACTCCCTTTGGTACTGATCCAGTTCTGCTCCATAGATCATCTCCCTGCCTTTGATACCTTCAACCTTGCACTCTTACCAGCTCCAGTGCTCAATCTATCAACTTGTTCCACTAATGCTAAGAAGTTCTGCCTCAACCATGATGTCTCCTCCCAGTCTTTTCTTCTCACTCAACATCCTCTGCAGGGACTTCCTATTTTCACATCGTTTCTCCACTCACTTATCCCTGGCTTCTGCTCCCCTGAACTTCAAACAAGCTGTGGTCTCCATATCACTCATATTTAGTTGTTTGTTTCAGATAAGGCCCTCCACAGAAAACCACAAAGACCTAGTTTAAACCATCCAGAATCACTGAGCCCTGGATCCATCTCACAGACCCCCTCCTTGACTCACACACTGCAGCGACAATGCACCTAGATTAAAACTAAGAAGAAAAACAAAATTTAAAAAACACCGTCAGGAAGGAAGACACAAAGACTAACACACAGCACAGGAAAATTCCTCACAGACTCTGGACTTAGGGGAACTAGAATATACTTGCTCATTATAAGCTCATTCCAACACTAAACTCTCCCCGCTATTGGTGTTCCCATCTGCCATTTTTGAACATGGGATGGATGAACAGGTATGGTCTTAAACTGAGCATGCTCAGGAATGTGCCCACCTTACACATCAGGACAAGTATTTCAACATGAACATGCATGTACCCATGTTTAAAGCAATACAATTCATAATAGCTAAGTTTTGGAAGCAGCCTATACGTCCATCAACAGATGAATGGATAGAGAAAATGTGATATTTATACACAAGGAATACTACTTTGCCATAAAATGGATAAACTTGAGTAACACAGAGGAAAATGGATGCACCTTGAGACCATAATGTTAACTGAAGTAAATCAGACAGGGAAGCTTAAATATCACATGGTTTCTCTTATATTAGAAAACCAATATATAAGTGCAAAATAGAAGACAAGCAGTAGGAAAAGAAGAAAGAGGAAAAAAAAGTTATTGTAATCCAGCATGGACAGTGCAACTAAAAGTGCACCTTGATTTAGTATTGTCTTCTGTGTTTTACATGTTTTTTGGCCTGGTAGTCTGGGTGTTAATCTATCTGATAATTAACTTCATAAGGACATAAATAAATGAATCTGAAAAAATACGAATATGCACATGTTTCCCAAGGAAATCCCTGTGCCTCCCGTGTTTGGAAAGATATGTCTTTGCAGTTATGCCCAGTGCTCCCCTCACACTGCAAATAATAAAACGTTCTTCACTCTTCTACCTCCTGGCTGTGCTTATCGGCTTTGTCCTCCAAGAGGGGCTACCCTAGTGCATTCAGCTGCACTACCAGAACATTCCATGCTAACCTCTAGCACATGTTTCACACTCTTATAAAATTATATTTCTACATAAACCTTGCCCATTATACTCTAAATTCCTCAAGGCAAAGACTATCCTTAATGGGTGTTCAACTCGATTCGCTGGCAAGTTAACTATTAGTCATAAATAATTTCTTGGAAGAAGAAAAAAAAAAAGTGGATTTTTTATCTGTGTGGATTTGCCCATTCTGGATATTTCATATAAATGGACTCATACAAAAAAAGGTGGTACATTTTCAGAATGCTAAATCCCCGGGACATCCGATGTGACCCTTTCTCGGAAGCTCTGCTGTGGCCTCAATATTTCAAATTCAAAATATACTGGAGTGTTGGTTGCTGTGATCATGTTCATCCTGGAATGACCATCTCCACTGCAGCAAGCACTAAAAGAATAGAAGACTTAAGCAAACTAAAATTAGCGTATCTTGCTACTCAACATAGCCTAAGATTTGGCAAGACAAATCTCTTAGGCAGGCGCACGCTGACACAGCATAGTGAAACAGAACTCAACCCAAGAAAATCTGCAGTATCTTTAACGCAGGAAATTCTCAGTTCTGCTGATTCATTCTGACTTCAAAGCCACAATAACACTTGAGTAAGGAGCACCCACGCTGACTCTGCACTTTTTTCTGCAGAGCTCACAGAATCTGGCATACAAGAAATTTAATAGTTGTTCTATGTCGTCCTTTCCAATTCCTCAGACACTGGCTGCGATCACCTACATTATGATGTCTGATAGCAGTAAGTGGCATTTTTTTTTTCTCTTGCGAAGATGCAGGCCTGGTCAAACTCATGATGAAAGCTGAAAGTACTGACAAAAGGTTCTGTAACTAAGGAAAAACACACAGGAAGTCCCTTTCCCTAAAGAAAGGTTTGGTGCTGGCTCTCCTCTGGCTCTTTAGCCTTGATTGAGGCAACCTCTCTTGTTCACACTTTGTGCAAAAACATCTGTACAACTGGTTCCCACTTAGGAGGCAGCATATTTAAATATTAACATAAACACACACACAGAAACAATTGGGTAAATTTCCGTCAGCACCATGTTTCTTAGGATCCATATTAGAGCAAATTATGAAGTGAAGAACCTTCTCAAAATAGGTCTTCACCAGTCATCACTTACTTTCTTCTTCCAACAGAAGTTATCTGAATTGCATTATAAAAGGTAAAATGGAGGAAATCACTAGGTTAAAGCCTAAATAGACTTCAGTCATGCTTCTTATATAGAGAGAGATGATCACTGTTAACATTTAACTAACTAGGTGCTGCATTTAAGATATTTAACATGTTAAATGGCTTTTCTTCCAGGAAAAGGAAATAAAGCCCGAATTCACTATTCATATTTTATATTTTTCTGTAAGTGCTTTACCACATATAATCAGTTGCTTTAACCACAGATGTAATTTTGACTAAACAAATATCTTAGAAGTGAAGTTTTACTGTACCTGTTTCTTAAGAGACTGTACTTACTTGTTGAGTATGAGGTCAAGAATAAATTTGGAGCCAAAGGCTTCAATCTGGAAGCTTGCCTGGGCCAGGTGGACGGCCTACAGATGAAAAAACACAGGAGGAAGTTTAACTTACTTTCTCATCTCCAAGACTGGTTATATTCATGTTAAGAAAGATATGTAACAGGACCAACTTTTTTATGTATTAACTTATCTTTTTAGGAGACTAGGTATGTTACCGTGGCTTTCCTGGGAAAAGATATAGAAAATAATTAATAAAAGACATTCCAGTCCTTTAAAATGAACCCACTGGGATAAAAATCCAGAGCATATTCTGCTGGACTACCAAAGTGATGAAATATGCAAAAGTGGGGCTAATTAAAACTTGATTTCAGCCTATTTTGTGCACGAAGCTAATGTATTCTTTCTGCACACCTAAGTGAAAAATCATGTCAGAGTTCTGCTCTTCAGCAGGAACTGGAACTTTTCTCTGGAACTTTCTCTAAATTATCAGCAGAATGTGACAGTATCAGCAGAATGCGACAGTAAATTGGGGTAGCACAGTCTTCTGACTTCAGAAAGCACTTAGAGCTCATCCCTTTGCAGTGTTTCTGTTTCCCTTTAAAAGCCACACAGTTACAAATACTGTCGTGAGGATGTCCTGGATGCAAATACAAAGATAATTCTATCTAAACCCTTTATGGGAGGTTAAAGATTAGGACAGCCTCAAAGAAGCATCTTAATAGTGTAAGTTAACAAATCAATGAAGTATCATCAAAGTATTATCTCAGATAAAATTTTCCTTTGTCACCCTACCAGGCAAAAAGGACAAGGATAAAAGCAACCCCTTCACTCCAAGCCCCTGAATCACAAATATCCTTCTGCCAGCTTGCATTCCTAAGGCAGTGGGGTCCGCTCCCAGGACCCTCCAACCTCGCCTTCCCCCACTTTATCCTCTTTATCCTCCTCCTTTTTTCTTTAGGGAAACTTTCCCCGTCCTTAAAAGCATCCCAATTCCATTACCTCCCATGAAGCCCTCCTTCACACACACTGTGGAAATGAACTCCTGGTTCTCAGAGCTTGGGGAACTCCATCTGTTCCTCCCTGTGGTGGTAACACGAGCTTCCTTCCATCCCATCCCACCCCTGGACAAACAAGTCCACAGAATATATCACAGGGGTCTTGCAAACAGCTGTAGACTAATGACCCTTCCCCCAAATATCCAAACTTTCAAGTAATTCACCAAATGTTTATTATCAAGACTAATTTACCATGCATCCCAAACCCAAAAAACACTATGAAGACGCAAGGACTTGTACTTCTAGCCAATCACAACTATCAATTAGTCACTTAAAAAAATCAATAAAAAACTTAAAGGAGATTAACAAATATTAAATTTTAAATACAAGACTATGACAGGTTCCTAAAATCCTAACACCATGGGATACCAAGCCAAACTGCAAACAACCATACAGAACATGGTGTACTGCGGGGTACCATACTTGCCCTGGGGTTCCACATTCAGACAACTGCATGAGGGAGCAAAAAATCCATATCTCGTCAAGTGTGGTCTTTGTCATCACAACAGAACTTCTAACCATCCAATGCAAATATCATGGTCTTCACTGTTAGTTTTATGTCTTGAAGTATTAATGTTTGCATGAAGATAGAAAGGATATAGATTTATTGAATAATTTAGAAAAGTGATTTTTCAGTTCCAGATTCAAAAGGCTTTTTTAATAAAAAGTATGTAAAACTAAAACTAGCCGGGCATGGTGGTGCACATGTGTAATCCCAGCACCTGGAAGGCTGAGGCAGCAGGACTGCTGCCAGCTGGAGGCCAGCCTGGGCTACAAAGTAAATTCAGGGCCAGCCTGAACTGCCTAGTGTGACCATCTCAAAAAGTAAAAAAAAAAAGTATGTAAAATTTACCTCCTAAAAATAAGATAGGTCTTTAAAAGTATTTATGCCTAAGAAAATTACACTGTAGAAAAAAGTTCATTGGTGGCAACTTGGCTTAAAGGAGCTGAAAAATCCAACCCCCCGACCCAGTACAAGGCTCATTTTACAGCAAGTAAGCAACAAATCAAGTATAACAGCAACAACACCTCATGGAAAACAAGGTAGCTTGGTGATAACCACAATACCCTCATTTTATAGAATTACTGAGGCTTGTACCATTTGATAATTGTTAAATAAGTCTACACCAACCCAACACAACAGGCTTCAGTTTAGTAGGGTTTAATGAAAGAACATCAAATAATACCAGACCTTTTATTTGCATTTTCATTCACTCACTGCACATGCACATACCAAGCTGCACCTTATGTGTAAAGATGGCTGGGAATGCAAACTGGCACAACCATTATAGAAATCCATATGGAGATTTCTCAAAGAACTAAAATTAGAAATTCATATGACCCAGCTCTCCCCCTTCCAAGAATCTTCCCCAAAGATCTTAAGACACCATGCTATAGCAATATATGTGTACCCATTTTTATAGCAGCACAATTCATAATGGTTAAGTCCTGGAAGCAGCCTGCGGTGCTCACCAGGAGGCAGCTGGGTAAAGAAAATGTGGTATCTATATATAATGGAATACTACTTGGCTATAAAGAAGGACAAATTTGAGACACTGGTAGGAAAAAGTGGATACCTGGAAAATATAGCACTGAGTGGAATAAACCAAACACACAAGCTTAAATACTGTATGGCATCTGTCATTTGAGTGAGGCAAAGTACAAACAAAGAGATAAAAAGACAGATTGAAGGAGACAAGGGGGTGGATCTCTTACAAATGGGAAGGGGCCCTGGAGATAAAGGGTGATGGGTGATGGGTGAAAGGAGGGGAAGGGGATATATGTAGAATAAAGATGTGCCATGTACAGGAACCCAAAAACCTCAATGAATGTAAACATCATATGCGGCAAACATGAGCTGACATTAATGATAAGAATGAAAACGGGGAAAGGGGAATTTGAGGAGGAGGGAGAGAGTGGGGAGAGAAGGGAAAGGAAGATAGAAAAAAGGAAGCAAGTTGTATTCTGTGCGTGGTTCCACTCCCCAGGATGGCAGCAGGCTCCAGGGAAGCGGGCAGAGACGCCAGCCTCGGGGTCTAAGAAGCCACACACAGCAAAAGAAGGGCACACACAGGGCTCCCCGACAGGGGGCGCTTTGAAAAAAAAAACTGAAAAGCTGAATGAAAATCGATCCGTCAGGGGAGGAGGAGGCAAAACGGCAAGGAGTGAAATATTTACAAAAGCAGAATTAAACATGAATGTGGAGCCGAGTGTGCAGGTGCAGACCTGTAATCCCAGCACTCAGAGGGCTGAGGTAGAAGGATCACCGTGAGTTAGAGGCCAGCCTGAACTACATAGCGATATCCTGTCTCAAAACAAACAAAAACTGAACATGGCAAAAAAAAAATTTTAACTTTTAAAAAGTGAATGTGACCTGCAGGAAAGTGGATTTCAGAGAAAATGACCTGAATCTGGAAAGGTGGGCTGGAAACTGGAGGGCTTGGTGTGTGGAGCTTACTGACGGGTATGATGGCAAATCTGTCTAAAGCTAAGACAGTGAGCTTTCCTACACGCTTGGCACAGCGTCTGACAGGGGTCCATTGTCGTCACTGCCATCATCGTCATGGTAATCATCATCATAGACATCATCACCATCATCAGCCTCAGCCTCCTCCAAACAATGCACAGAGTACCTTCTAGAAAAAAATTCAAGAATGCACCTACTTCTCCACTAAAAAAGAAATCTGATTTCATTATATTTTCTAAGTAAAAAAACATTTTGGTATTTTAGTTTATTTTAATTCTAAAAGACAGAATATTTTTCCATGAAATAATTTAAGGTTTCCTCACCACATGCATCTTCTTTGCCCATGTATCAAATACAACCTAGATATTCATGTAATGTACTGTGGTTGTGCCCATTTTAAGTACTTTCACTATAATACCATACGTTCTTTTTCATACATTATGCTTCTCTTTCTGTTGCCATAATACTGCACTTGTTCAGGGTACAGATTCTTCTCTATACCAAGGGAAATACTGTACTTGAGAAGTACTACTTTCCCTACCATCCTGCTGTTTCTGTCCCATCCTTCCCCCAACTAAAATAACTTCTGGACTCTACATTATTCCATTTCAATTTATTACTTTTTCTTTAACAAAATAATATAGGTATGACAAGTATCAATTTTAAATGTTTTAAAGTCAAGGAAAATGAGTCCTCATCATTACTGTTTTATAAATTACATCTGCAGGTATAATTTTTCTTAAATACTGTTATCCCACTTCTTCTGAATGGTAGGAAGTTAGGGTGGTTGGAAAGATCAAGAAGTCTTATACAGTGCAGCCACGCTGCTTTGGAATGATCTAAGTGACTTAAGAGTTGACAAACTGACAGGCACCCTGAAAATACAAAGGCCACCTACAGCGCTGCTCTTTATAATGAAGGAACTAAGGGGTGAGGTTATAAATGTGTGCAGCAGCACAAAATCGGATGACACGAATACTTCAGAGAAGAGTTCATCAAGCACACATGAGGTCATAGTTCTTTTCTCCTTCGGGATGTCAGTTAAGCAGCCTTGTTTTTATAAGGACATCCACTATAATAGCACTAGGGAGGAAGGCAACGTTTTATAGCCAAAAAGCGTCATTTCCCTTCAAGAATGTGCACATCCTTGAACTCAGAATTATCGCCCTGAGGGACTGGGAACAGCTGCTGCCTTAGCACTTTGGTATTTTTCTTTTGACTCAGAATCCAGCCCAGGGAAATTACAAGAACTCTATAAACAAAAACAATTAAACTCAATTGCATACACAATCCTCCTTCGCTAAAGAATAGGTCACACCCTCTCAGCAGTGTTTTTGTTCTCCTGTTCTTGCTTTCTCAGAGGCGACACTAATGATGCCAGAGTAAGTAACTAGAATACAACTTCCTCAGCTGAACCTTGCCTCGCACCGTATCACCACGCACTGCTGTGACATTGAGCGGCTGCTGTGCTCAGCTTCAAAAAGCTACACTGCATAAGCTGGGCAGACACACAAGTGTTTTCCTGAGATTTATAATCTGTAATAGTTAATATG